CCATTGTTTTGCTTTCTCTGTTTCGTAAAGGGTAAACTGCCTCTTCTGCTGAGCCGAATGAATGAGGTTGCAAAAGTGTTCCTGGCTACAAACAGTGACTACAAGTACACAGATGTAAGTAGTGCTGTCTGTCAGCTCTTCTGTAGTTATTGCTGCTTTGAAGTGCACAGCTCCCTGTGCTGCATTCTCCCATGACAGCTCACTGTAGTCCTGAAGGCTCATCCTTCTTACATACTGAGAACAGTACATTCCTCTAACGGGAATTAGATCTTTGTGAACTGTTTTGTCTTTATCATGATCTGTTCTTTTGCAAGTAGAGGTGTGTGTAAAGATTTTCAGTATGAGGAGGTATAAATGACCTATCTCTCAGCAGGGTTTAAAGAGGTTGAATGAATGGAAACTGTGTTTTGCCATACTTAATATTGTGAATGATATGGTGGAACGTTGTTAGTCATCAGCTCTCATATTATACACCCCTTAATACAGGGACATTCCAGGACGTTGAGGACACCAGGAAAAGAAAAATAGTTACTGTTGAAATTCTTACAAGTTTGAACAGGCTTTAGTCTGTGTTACCTCTCACATTAATACGTAGAATAAAAGAATAAGATGTACCGTTTCTCTAGTGATTTTGGAGTAGGTGCTATAGCCAGACTGCACTCTGGCCTCTGTCAGACATTTCTTTCTAATATTTAAAATTCAGTTGGCAAGGAATAACAACATCCAAGAATTAAATGTGTGAGTTCTTACTCACAGCGTGATGTGGTTTAACCTGCTTGACTGAGGACCGGCTCACAGACAGCGGGACGAGGAGGTTGGGACCCTTGTGCAGAGCGAGGAGTGACCAAGGGGGAGCTGCAGAGCAGGAAACGGGGTGGAGGAGGGAGGGATGCAGGAGGCAAATGTAAAGGAGAAAAGGCTTGCTTATGGTATTTAGGGTTTCTCTATTTTTAATTGAGAAAATGACGTCAGGAATGATTACGAGTCAGAGCAGCTGAGATGAGATTGGCTCCTTGGCTCCTCCCCGAGTTTTCCTTGTACCACAGCTAGTGCTTATTTACAGAGAAACGGTCGCCGCCCGGGCGTACGTTTTGGCAGTTGTATGGGAATCTGTATTTAATACATCACTCTCAGCACCTCCTTAACTCCTGGATAATGTAGACTGAACTCTCAGGCCCCTGACAGTGTCTATTTAAGGGACTGGAGTTTCTTCTGCTGAATAGATTATTTGTGAACTGAAGTCTAGTCTTAAATAAGAACTGTATAAACAATAAAGACTCAGTTTAACAGAGTTTGGATTGAACGGGCAAAATCTATGAAAGGGGAATTTTGTCTCTAAAATCAGAAACACCAGACGTTCCCTGCAATAACTGACAAAGTATAGGACAGTTTGTACTGTATATATTTCTTGGGTTTTGTTTGTGTTTCTTATGCTTTAGTGAAGTTTTAAAAACATTTTAAAAAAATACTAAAAAACTGTAAAACAAATTCTGTAAAATGCACAGATAATGAAACCCTTCCTCCCTATTAGACCATACAATGTGAACTGCATTGTATGTCTTCTCCAATTGTACATCTTTACTTCTTAAAGGCCTCATTTTTCCATGATTATCATGGAATACTGTCTGTGAAAAGCTGGCATTATTTCTTATGTGACCTTTTTTTGGGGTATTCCAGAAAATCATGACGTACCTGTTTGATTTTCCTCATGGTCCAAAGGTAAGATAGAGTTCCAGGATTTATCCTGTTTTTTTGTGGATTTATTATTGTGTTACAGAATATTTTTGCTACTTTTCACTGTTTTCTTGAATTTGGCTGGCTGTGGTATGGATCATTGTTTTAAGGTTATTGATGAAGAATTACTTTTTAATCTTTTTAATTTTCCATCATTAATGGAAATTAGGGGTTACATCATTCAGCAATCTCTGTATGATGCAGGAGCTAGATTTCTGCAATCAGTGCCATGATCTAGCAGTTGCATTTCTGAAATCAGAGTGTTGTAGTGACTACATTTCCACACAGCAGACTAGGTTTTCAGTCAGGGTGTTTAGTGTCATTACAGCCGGGTACTCCTCACCGTCCCTGGCAGTCCTACTTCGATCTGATCCTGGTGGACGCACGGAAGCCCCTGTTCTTTGGAGAGGGCACAGTGCTCAGACAGGTGGACACCGTGAGTACAGCACCGTCACAACTGGACACAGCCTAGGAGCAGCTCACACCTTTCAGCTTGGGTAGACAGACACTCAGGCGCAGCGCAAACATACTGTGTGCAGTTGTGTTGCATCAAAGTGCAGATTAAAATGTAACCTAAGACAAAATATGTTAATGAGACCAGCTGCCAAATGCAGAGCTGGATATTTTCAATTGGAGAATAAAGGAACTGCAAGTTCTTAGAGGTTTGCGGATTGGCTTTTGGTTTTTAAGAGGTTCTGCTTTTTTTTTTAAAGATACAATTTTAGGCGCAGTTGATAAAATGCAACTTCGGTGCATCTTGTTTAAATAATTGAGCAGCTTTATCTCCATTCTGTTTTTGTGGCTTCTTAGACCAAAGCCCAGAATTAAAGATTTATCAAGAGCTTTGCCACAAAGACAACTAACCTCCACAAAACACTTCTTTAAGCCTTTGCAAACATAACTGCATGCCTACCCTACAGATCCTTAGACTGCTCTCTTGGAGCTCTTTTGAGACTCTTAAAATAGTCCCTTTGTGTATCTGGGCCCAGTTACATCCTAATAAAAGTTGTTTTTCAAATTTGTAAACTAACAGTGAAGGAGACTAGTAAACACATTTGTTAGCCATCTTTCTTTCTGATTGGCACTGGGTGTAGGTTAGATACAGTTTCAAGGAGTGATCTGAAAATGATAACAGCAGGACAGTTGAATACTTTAAATAGTGTTTTAATGCTTAATCATTCCTGTCTGCATTGGTCAAGAAGGGGGACTTACCTTTATTAAAGAAATATATATATTGCAAATATAAAAAAAAATGTCATTTTTAGTGGAATCAATTGATTTCTCCAACTGAGTTTTGTATTGTTTTACATTGCTTTGTGCATGAAAGTCTTCTGCTATTAAGATAGCATATAATTTAATATATCTGTGATATTTAATTTAGTCTGAGCAGAAGCTCAAAGTTTTAGTGATTCCAGTTTTTAATAAAATGAACATGACCTCTCCATAAAGTGAAGCTGTTCTGTCTGCTTCAATGCAGTGTGGGATTGTGACAGAAGGTGAGTGAAATGTACTTTTCCATTTTCAGACGACAGGAAGGTTGAAGATTGGGACCTACACTGGACCCCTACAGCATGGTATTGTGTACTCTGGAGGTAAGGAGCAAGGGGCACAAAAGCTTTAGTTTATTTAAAGGGAGAGAAAGCTTTTGTTGTGAGAGAATATATTGTGTGTAATGTCTGCTGTTGAGTATGAGAAAATAAGTTCCTGTCAAAGATAATTTCTTTCATACCCTGTGCTTTTATCAAAGTGTTTTCTTTTTTTCCCCAAACTAAAGAGTATTATGTAATATTTATAAGAGGTTTGGAGGTGGGAATACTGACTTTTACTGTGGTATAACTGTGCTATCCCTCCATTAGTACATCCTTAGACTTTCCCTGTGCTCCTGCAGGCTCCTCGGACATTGTGTGTGACCTGATGGGAGCAAAGGGCAAGGATATTGTGTACATTGGAGACCACATCTTTGGAGACATCCTTAAGTCGAAGAAGAGACAGGGATGGCGGACCTTCCTGGTTATTCCTGAGCTGGCGCAGGAGCTACATGTGTGGACCGACAAAAGCTGTGAGTCTTTACACCACATCCTCACATTGAATTCCACGTGCCAACAAAGGGTAATGTGTTATTATGTGCCAAAAACAACCGTCCAGAACCTTGCAGTCCATCATTATACCCCGAACTGATGAATCGGGGAAAAAAAACCTTAAGCGGTTTCCCGGTATGTGAATTACAAACTCTAAATGACAAGAGATGAAATCCAGATTGAAAGGCTCCTGATCAATTTCATGCTGACGTCAGGAAGTGTTTTTTGTCATCCTCAGCACTGTTTGAAGAGCTGCAGAGCTTGGATATTTTCTTGGCAGAACTCTATAAGTGAGTACAACATGTCTTAAATGATCTCAGTTTGGTGCTAATGAGCATTCCATATGGCATGGGCAAGCTATTTACCCTGTTTGGAGTTAGTGGTACTGTATAGAATTGTCAGTGCATGATTCCTAGTTTCTCTAATTCACTGCGACTGCTTCTTTTAAACACTTTGTCCAAGCTGACCTAACATGCCTTTCTATGCAGACATTTGGACAGCAGCAGCAATGAGAGACCCGACATCAGCTCCATTCAGAGACGTATCAAGGTTGGTTTTCTTTCTTTCCGTCTTCCGACGTCTGAGACGTGGTCGTCCTCACCATTAAAGTGACATTAAGCAGCAGCAGTTGACATTACACACTCTGCAGGTTCAGAACAGGTCCCGCTTGAGGAAAACGATATGCGCAGTGGAGATGGAATGAATCAGCAAAAGGCTTATGTGTCAAAAAACGTGGAGGAGTGAACTTCTGGCAAACCAACCACCCAGTCCCACAGTGATCCTGCCATCCCCATCATGGGAATGGGAAATGGGAGGTTGTCATAAACTATCATAATTGTTTCTTTGTCTTTAACACTTTTCTAGAGATGCAAGAAACGGTTCCTTTCTCTATGCTTCTTTCCTGTCTGGTTTCCTGCAGAGATGTATATCAATAGCCTTGGCTGATGCCAGACCACTTCTGGTCTGATTGGTCCTGCTGTACATTTTGCCTAGATACATAGTCTCAAGGGAGGTGATGACACATCACCAGTTAATCTTAAATATTCACACAAACGAGGAGAAAATTTCGTTTTGAAGGACAGATTTCTATAAATTATGAAACAGGACAAGGCTTATACAAATCAAAATAGAAAAGAAACTAGAATGTAATTTGAATGGAGATCATTTTTGTTATGTTGATGTTACAGTTCATGTATTACATGTCTCACTTATATTGCATTTATGTTTGATATTCAAACCAGACTTTTTTATACCCACTATCTGTTGCAAACAATATTATCTGTTGAAAAGACATCTCAAAGCGATTTGATGACTTAATTACTAAGTACACAAGGGATAAAAATTAAACTTGCACAAAGATCTGAAATAAAAGCCCACTGGTCTCTATACTGCAGCCTATGATGTTCCCCCTTATGATGTTTAGGGAAATCTTTTCAGGGTCTAATTTAGGATTATTTCATTTTGCAAATGAGTAACTAATTAGAAATACCAACAAAATCACACAGAACACATAATCAGATTGTACAATTGGTGGAATTCTGTTGAAATAGAATTGAAATTGTAACAGAATCTTGATTTTAATTTAGTACAGGAATGGTATTGTAGGTCCTTACTACTGTAGGAGCTGTTCTCTCAGACAGATGGAGAAATGGGGAAGCTCATTCAAGTGAAATCAGTTGTAGTTGAAGTTCTCATTGCTTCACCACTGGAAATCTCTGCTTTTCCTTGGCTCTTTCTTAGTTCTTTATATATATATATCTCACACAAACACTTCTTCGCATTTTGTCTCATGCATCCCTCTTCCAGCCCATTTCCACCTTTGCAGCTGCCCCTCTCTCTGAACGAGGGTTCGCGCCTCATTGTCCAGTGGACAGGAGGCTGCTCCTTTACCAAGTGCGTCAAGCCGAACCTTATTGTCTTTAAAATACTGTTACCTGTAAACACAAGGTGTGGCTGTTTCTCCTGAGCTAGCCCTAATGTTATCGGGAGGAGGAGCATCGTGCAGGAATGTGAAAGGTGATCAGGTGCCTCCCACTCCAGTTTGACTCCATCTCCTGTTTGCGCCCCACAGAAAGTGACTCACGACATGGACATGTGCTACGGCATGATGGGCAGCCTGTTCCGCAGCGGCTCGCGGCAGACGCTGTTCGCCAGCCAAGTGATGCGCTATGCTGACCTCTACGCCGCCTCCTTCATCAACCTGCTCTACTACCCCTTCAGCTACCTGTTCCGGGCTGCACACGTCCTCGTGAGTTCCTCCGCCTGGCCCGGTCCAGTCTAGGGGTTTCCCAGCCAGCACCAGGGTCCTCAGACTACAGTATCCTATTTCTGTTTACAATAAGCTTGACTTTCTCACTGTTTCATTCTTGCAAAGCCACAGACCGGTAGTTTGGTCCTTTTTAATCTCTTTAAACTTGTCATTTCAGAAAACACCAGTAAGATCAAAATGAGTTTCGTAAAAGCACATTGTTTTTTTTTAGGTTTGCATTGGCTATAAACTCCGACCATTTTGTCTGCCCACCAGAGGGCACTCATGGCCCTGCTAAAATGGTAACACGATTACAAAAAAAAGTTTTTTGCTGAAGTCTCTCATTTCACCAGGATGTTTTTCATTACACTCTTTTAAGACGTGCATTTTTTGCAGAATTACAGGAAAAGGTAAATTCTGGGGCTAACAAAGTGTTGAAAAGGCTCCTCTGAACGCACTGACACGTGGAGGGGAAATAGAAAAGTATTTTTCCAGCAGTATAAGTCCATATCTCGCCCCCTTTCCAGGATGAGTGTTTGTTAGCACAGATACTTAGTGTTGCATGTTACAACCTAAACAAGAAGAGCAAGGGTGCAGTCAACCGGTTCTTTGATGCGTCTTGTGGTCCCCATCTCTGCCCAGATGCCCCACGAGTCGACAGTGGAGCACGCCCACGTGGATATCAACGACACAGAGTCGCCCCTGGCCACGCGCAACCGCAACGCTGTGGACGTCAAGGACTCCGACTACAAGAGGCACCAGCTCACCCGGTCCATCAGCGAGATCAAGCCCCCCAACCTCTTCCCCCAGACCCCCCAGGAGATCACCCACTGCCACGATGAGGATGACGACGAGGAGGAAGAAGAAGAGGAGGAGGAGGAGGAGTAGTTACCAAGAAGACGTCTCCCTGGGAATCTGGAATCGTTTTAATCAGGAATCGGGAATCCCACAGTGGGATGAGGAAACAGACAGGTGGGAATGAGGAGGGGGTGGGAAGTAAAAGTGAAGACAGTTTTATACAGTATGTTCACGCGTCTCAGACATTCTGCTCTTGGTACTTGAGTACTGTCAGGATACCAGATCAGGCCAATGTCAGCCTCTGTGGGTTTGCGTATTACAACAGATCAATTGAACTGTGACGCTGTCTCATATCCTAAGCCCATCTAGAGTACACATTGGGATTTCATTTTTTTCCACACAAGTAGATTTTTTTGTTAATGTGATAAAGGTTTGTTTTGGAAACTTTAGAAGACCAAACTTTTATGATTTGCTTTATTTGAAAAGACAAAATTCATTTTTATTCCATTTTTCATTGAAGGAAAATGCTTCTTTCTTTTACTGTAAGTGAGAGATGTGAGAAAATAAGTATACTGTATGCAGAAAATGCTTTCCTGAAATATATGACAGCTTTACTATGCTAACACAGAGAGCGGGAATTGAGCGTAATAGTGTGAGACCAATGTGAGGGGTCATCTCAGAATACAGACTGCTTTGTATTGAACATACACTCTTCCTTGTCTAAATCAACTTAGATTTTTATATTAAGAAATCTATCTCTAGTATGGTGTTAAAATATGTTTTTTATGTTCTGAAATACCATCCAGTATGCATTGCTTTGGTTCTAGAAGTTGGGTTACAATATTAGTTTTTATAAATTGGGGGTCATTTCCAGGGAAACATATAAATGAGAGCACACAGCTCTAAAGCACAGACATACTGTACACCTGAGTAACCCATAAGCACAAATGACAGACTATTGAAACAATCCAGTTTCAAGAAATGACATACTGTATACACAGACGTTTGAACATTGTAAAACAAATCTAAAGATCGTTTACAAATTTGGCTTGGAAATGGTAAAGTGATTCTAGGATGACTGACACATTTTCAATATTTCTGATGCTTGCGTCTTACTGCCTGTTATTTTTCTTCCCAGTTTAATTTATGGTTAATCGCCTTTGGAGTGTGATCATTTTAAGAATCGCATACAAGGCTTCACCTACTTCCCATTCCAGATTTGTTCAATATCAAAAATATAGAAGAGTATGCTTATTTATCCTTCAGTGAAAATCTTTGCCTTAATTCAGTGGTGCAATGTAGATAACCAATATTTTCTTTGCATTTCGTTCATGAGATGCAGCATGTATGGATGGCTGCACATGTCTCTAAAATGCGTAGTTTCCTTTCGTTCCAAGCTGTTACACAGTAAATGAAATGCCTCAATAGCAATACCGCAAAAGCAATCCTATGCATGCTACTCTTTAAAATCTTTTTGCATAAAATGCAAACCCTTGGAACAATCCTTCAGAGATGCTTGTTGAATATGTTGTGCTCTGTGAAGGCACAAGCCAGGTCTTCAATGGGAGAGCGGACTTTATGACTTCTATGGAGCCAGCACTGCCAATTACTGTGTTGGAAGACTGTTTGCATTTACAATTCATCCATGTAGCGATAAGGTCTGCAGGCACAGCCTCAGTGAGTTTTAAAATCCCCAAACCTGGTCCCGGAGAGCCCTGGTCTAATCTTCCCGGTTTCTAAAGATAAAGAACCTCTATTAGTCATAAGATAATTATGCCATTATACCTTGTTTGTTTAAGAGATTTAACAAATTACAAAGTGCTTCACCTGCTTAATTGATAGCACAGAGTCTTGATAGAAATTGGTGTTGTAATTGTTACCTTGGGACAGAGATTCTGGATGTAGAGGATTCCTTCCAAAGCCAAGGCCCATGTTTGTGGGCACCCCTGTAGTTAATTCCCAACACCAGAGTGAGACAATATGGAATACTTCTAGGATGTACACAAAAAAAAAAAACTCTGCTCACGTTATTCTACGTTATTTGAAACTATAAAATGGAGACTAAAATAATCAACTAATTAAATGCTTATTTACAGTGTGATCAACTACAAATAGAAAATACATAGAATTTGTGAGGGAAAGATAAAACATAATTTGTTATTTCTGCATTGGTACCTGGGAATTTTAGCACCAGGTAGTAACTATTTGAACTGAGCTGAATTTTACAAAGGATGGTTACAATATGTTCGAAAAGGGAGGGTCCTGAAATTTTATGGGAAACAATTTTGTTTAGCATAGGTTTCAGTGAGTTTGCAGAGCTTCTTATCTTAGTCTAACGATTATTTAATTTTGATCAAAATTAAATGGGAGGTTAAGCTTGAGTACAGAAAGTCTGCTTTTTCTACCAGGATACTGTAAATTATTCCTGTTTTGGTATATAGTTAAATTGTTTTTTCTCTTTGTTATTTGACAGTTATGCAATAACTAAAACTACAGGTCTAATACATCAGTATTGTTAATAGAAAAGTAGGTATGTGCTAAACTCTGATGTTCCACAGTTAAGCAAGTTAGACAATAGCTTTCAGTTGTCTTTTTAGATTGATTTACATTTAAATGTATTATTCTCAAGTGGCATGGTGTTTTTTTTGTGTTTTTTAATAGTTAAAATGACATTTCCACCTCAGTGCTTTGCTTTTGGTGCATATACTGTGATTTAGCAATGGAAAGAAATAATATGCAGTCCATAAATAATTTTGAGAAATGCATAAGAAATGGCGTGTGTTGATTAAGTAACAGTGAAGAGAGAGCTATGTTTTTTCTATAAGTAAATCAACAAAAACCTTCATAAGAACAAAAAAAAGTCCTAACATTTTCCTACATTATTTTTTTCATTGCTGTTAATTAAAATTCAGTAGTGATTTTAAAATGTTAAACAGGAAAATCCATCCAAAAAACAGCTGAGAATTGAAAGCACTTTAAGAAAGATCTAGGCAAAAGGGTACTAATATACTTTTTTTCTTTGCTTTTTAAATTAGTTATTCTCTCAGCTCTATCATATTTTTTTCTTATGAAAAGCTTAGAAGAGTTTACTAGTTCATTTCTCTCCATTTCTCTTAATTTCTTCTGCATTTTCTGAAAGTTTTTTTTCTCTAGAATTCAGGAACCTGAACGAAAAAAAAAATGTTGAAAAACCTTTTTTTATTATAATTATTCTTTTTATTCTATTATTCTTTTGCTTTATACCAGTATGCATGTTCATGCTGTTTGGGAGTCATATTAAAGGAAACTTCAAAAATGATGTATGATTTTTTACATACTGTACTTCATGTTATGCATACAGTTGCTCTGCATTGTTTCCAAAAATTTGGGAACAGTAATTTTCATTGTAAAATAAAATGCCATTGCTCTGCATCTGTCATTATGCAAACAATACGTTGTTCTTTCATATTTTTTTCCATCTGTACCAATCAGAGTTCGATACAATGAATTGAGATGGTTTACTGCTACTCTAAACTTTTCATTCCAGCCCAGCTTTTAACTGTGATTCCACAAATTATTGTCATAATTAGGCCCTTTCCTAAGGAGCTACTTAAAGAGACTTATAAAAAGAGCAGTCATGGAGAGCCATCAGAATCCTTTCACTCTGGTGTAACTAATATTTCACTGAATCAATCTGACCTTTTTTCTCCAATCTAACATCATAAATCATTTCAAGCTGACATCCTCAATCCTGGTCCTGCTCCTCCAGTAGCTTCTGGTGTTTTGTTTTTAACCAGCTAAACTCTTAATTAGAATGTAATTGAAACCTTCAAGGAATGAATGGTTTGATGGGGATGCCTCAGGGTTTTCAATGGTTGGAAGTTTCATGATGGCTGCTGAAGTTTATGCCAAAGTTAGTCTGCCAAAAAGGAAAACAGTTCCAGTGTTAAGCAGTGCAGTCAGATCGTTTAAATAACAGATCTCAGATAGAAGGGGAACCACCTGCCACTGGAGTCCAGTATCAGGACTGGGAAGCTCTGATTTAAAGAGACCAGCTGGCTATTAAGGACTGAACGTGAAGAACTCTGACCTTAAGCAGAGAGTTAGCTTTTCTGTAACAGCAGTGCTTTTATGAGAATCCAAGCATGTATGATTTACTATCTCTGGAAAACAGATCTAAATGTACAACAAAGTGAATGTGTGTAGCTCAAGTGGTCTAAATGCAGATGTAGCCAACTCCCATCCATTTCTGCAGGACAATAAAGTCTCCTGTTTTTCACCTTGATTAAAAATTATTTCACTGAATTGAGAACATTTGCTTATCTGGCTCAATTCCAACCTCTTTCAACCTGATGGTTGCGAACTGAACTGAAAAACTGAACTCTAGTCAGCAATTAGCCAGGCTAATTTAACAAAATTACATTAAACCAGAGAAATCCAAACCATGAGACAGAGCTTGGTGCTCAATGTGAAATTAAAATGGCCTTACCACCAGCTCCTGCTGATCCAACATTCCAGGGATGCGACTCCTGTTCATTTTCACAACAAGCTAGAAAGTGTTTTTACTGTTACTCGGCATGAAGTGAAATATGAATGTGTACGAATTAGGGAACAAAAACATGGATATAGTAATGGAGTGATTTTAGTCAGGTTAGACAACAGCAGCCCAGTTGCAGAAAACAGATTGCGATACATAATGTTATGTTATTGCATGGCTTTTTTCCCTTTTAGATTGAATGTAGTTTAAAAATTGTGCATCAAAAATGAAATGGATGAGAAACATGCTTTTGATTATTAATCATTTATTTATTAAAGTCATCACTTCTTGAAGTATAAAATAATTTCCATAAACCAACTTCAGGCCACAAAGGTTGGTCTCTTTTACCTTGTGTTTTTTTTCTTATACCATTTTTTCCATAGTTCAGTAGTTAATGATTGTTTTAAACTGACATGTAAGTGCTCATACACAGTGAGAAAAATTCTCATCAGGTACACAGCTACAGGCTACAGCGTGAATGATGACAGGGAGGGATTGATAACTTTAACACCTGTAAGGAGAATGTGTCCATCCTTCTGAATTTCTGCTACAAAACTTTCATACACATACAAATAAGTGTGTATTCAAGAACATTACAAATAGTGCTCTGCTGTTTTGTATGGCAAACAAAAAACAACAAAAAAATTGAATGTAATATTATTTAAAATGAATTTTAGTATACGGTTTTGGGCTTAAATAGTGACCAAAAATACAGTAGTTGGCTAGTCTGATTTTACACAAGTATTTGGGAAGAACCTTTTAAAGTGCTTTGTTTAAGGCACAATTTAAATACTTTCACAATATAAAAGGATTTCGATTTTTTTTGTTTAATGCATACAATATATTATATATTATACAGTGTTTCTGTATTTCTATATACAAAACTAATTTCCTCTATAATCAAGTTTGTAATTATCATCAAATTAAAAAAAGGGGGAAATGTGCTAAGCTCATGAACAGGAAAATGCTGTCTATCAGAAAGGATCTGTTCTCCACTTAAAATATTAGCACCAAACATTTGTCTTCTCTTCTGATTTTGGCAGCAGTAATTCGACTTTTAAATGTCCACCCAATGGTGTAAGTTTTAGAAACTGGTCTAGCTGTGAGCAAGAAGACAAATTTGCCGTCATTGGTATTAAATAAACATCCAGTTTATCAATCCACCCCCTGATGGAACACTTGAAAACAACTGAACTGGAATGTCAAGCTTGAGACACTCACACATAACCTAAATGGAATGATGTACAGTTAACAAACTTCCTTGTTTGTTTTTATGTTTTGCTTTTGTAAATCAAAAATCACAACATATACAAATAAATCAGGTACAAAATAAATAGAAGATTGTAAATCTACAATGTCATTCAAATAATTATAAAGTTTGTTTTAAAGAAACAATCAGCCTCAGAATCCTTACACTTCATTATATCCATTGTGCTTCATTTCAGAGTAATATATACAGTTCTGAATATGGCACTCAGAATACTACACTTCTGAAATGCTGTATTGTACAATATGATACAGGGAGCCAGTGACTCTGTGACATCTGACGGAACATGAAAGACCAGCTTGATGTGTAGCAATTTTAGTCACAAATAGAAAAAGGCAAATCAGGAAAAATATTGACAGATACTGGTTTGTGATCCACACTATCAACAAAACTCACTGAAATCTGTTCACTGAGAAGGATCAAACCTCAGGTAATTGGTTCTGAATGGAAAAGGAAGCATATATCATTTTAATAGGCAACTAAATGTGCACATAATATTAGCAAATTTATTTTAATAATGCATATGGTTTGGGGGTTTAGAATATGTTGCATCAATTATCATTAACATTAGACAATTCTATGTTTTTGTAAATACATCTTCTGGGAACAGAATGAAATTATTTTTGGCAAATCAACAAGCTGTAGGTTTGACTAAGTTTCTATATAGTGTTGTACTGATTTTGTGATTTTTGGATACATCTGGCTATGTGCAAAACATTTTCAGAAGACAAATATAAAATCAAATACAGAAGAGTGTGTTGAGATACATCAAAATAATATTAAAATACAGCAGCTTTTAACAATACTGAAATATTTCCCATAAGACCTGGTCAGCCACCAAGGAATAAGCTTTCATCAAATGGACATCCTTGTACAAAATGCTAACAAGGCTTCCACCTGCAACACCTGCTGTGGGAAGTTATGAGTATGGAAGGATATCTATATACATTTAAATAATGTGCATTGAAAACTACAGCAAATTAACCCTGAAGACATATACATATGGTAGTACTGTAGGTATTGTATTCTTTCAATTCGGTTAAAAACAATCCCATAAAATGCCTCTTTACTGTCAATAAGCATGACATTATTAAACTTTGATTATCTGTACTTCCTTTAAAAGCTTATGTGAGGACATTGGTAATAAAAACAAGACCTAAGTTGTTCTACACAGACACATTTGTCAGGTGAATCTGAAGACAGGCTCCTTTGTCAGTTTCCACTGTTTCAGCAGCACAATCCCTCCATTTAACAGTGTGGACTGACTAACAGAAATAAAGCAGAACACAGCAGAGTTCAGCACAACAAAGATCAGCTCTATCGCAGCAATAGACTGAAAACTTAATAGCACGTGATTAAGAAAAAAAAACATGCCATCTGTCACTTGGGAGAGAAACCTCTCAGCTGTCACTAGGCAACAAGCACCATTTTTTCTTCATTTTGTTTTCTTTTTAGCCAGTGAAAAAGAATATTCTCTTACATCAGCTGAGTGATGCACGGAATCAAAATAAAGTGATGCATTTAGTGTTTATCAAAAGACAGCGACAATGGACAACAAGACAAGAAACCAGCAGGATCCAGGAGAAGCGAACAGCCACCACACTGAGAGAAAGAGATACAGTAGGGATTTAAGCAAAGAGTTTCACATTTGGTCTCAAAATCCCCTTTCAGCAGCAGTTATGTTCATTGCACCACTTTCAAATAATGGCTCTGGCACTGAAAGCACAACTCAGGGTCATTTCAAACAAAATCTCCCAATAGTTATTTCCAGCTGATGAACACTAAGGAAACAGTAAAAACTACAGGATCCTCATTCTTGTAAGAAGAAAACTTGTCTTTTACTGAAATTTCAATCACATACTGGTGAGTATCAGAACTTGATATATATTTAAAAAATCATTTCAGACAATGCAGGGGTTTCCAGAAAAGAAGAGGGAGAAATTGACTTTTTTATGCTCATTGTTGTGTGTGTCATAAGAGAATGCACTATAAAGTGAAAGGGATTCATGAATCAGTAACTTGCAAGTAAATTACAAGTCGTGATAAAATCACAGCAAAGGAAATACAGTAGGTTAACGTCTAATTTTGCATCCCTGTAAACGTGATCAAGAGTTACAACCCCAAAATCATTAATAAATTCCACCAGATATCCATTCACTTTCAGTAACCACTAATTCTAATACAGGGGAGCAGTGAGCCATAGCCTAACACGGCAGACACTTGGCACAAGGAAGGATGTCAATCCAGCTCAGGGCACGCATGTGTACACATGCACAGGGAGACAATTTAGAGACACCAATTAACCTAAACAGCATGTCTTTGGACTACGGGAGGAAACCAGAGCACCCACTGAACATCCATATGGCCATGGGAGAACATGCAAACTCCACAGATGGTGTCCCAGGCTGCAATCCAACCTATGAGCTGTGAGGCATCCCACAATAATAAAATAATAATTACAGTAGTTGGATTAAAACTAAAAGTCTCAGAGCGCATCTCCACATTTTACATATGCAGTGTCAATAGTTCTGCTCACCCCTGCTTCAGCTGTCAGTTCACCTTCACAGTGTTCATGGGTCCAAAACACAAGATAAACCTTACAACAGGCTTCATATAATGTGCAAACAATGACAGCCCACCCTTAGTCGACAGGCGGTTAATGTCAAGAAATGCATTTCCACCCCCTTCTTTGAAAACTGGAAGTCACTTGGGAGGAATAAGACAGCAAGTTTCTTAGGAAATAATTTAAGTAGTGCAACTGAATTGATTGTTTTCTTACTATTAGAATTTCTAAGCACAGTTTATGAAAAGTACGCATCTATTTCAATCACTATCTGATTTCTTTATGTATGGCTTGAACCCAATCACTTTAATTAAAAAGTTGAACTACATCATTTCATACCTGTGAGGAACAAAAGTGCAACTTTAAATGTTCTAAAATAAAATAGAGAAAACCAAGGCAGCACTGGGAAGTGCTTTTACAGATATGCAGAATATGAAACATAAACATTGCCCATCTTACATTGCACACTCTCCATCAATCAAGACCTTATTCTATCTAACTACCATCTGCAAGAGGTATACCAGTCCTTACAGTGCACACATCATGTGGGACTCACATATTATATGTGCTCCTACATGTCCTTTGAGACAAGGAATCAAAAGCTATCCACTTCACCTGTCCTGTGTGAGAGCACAAACTGCAGTCTCCAGAGGTGTGCTCAGTGACAGCACCCTTCCACGGTGATACAAGGTGGAAATGAACTCATATTAAACTCATAAGAGAAGCACTTGCAGACTGTTATAAAAACAGCCCAAGCAGTTTATGAAGAATTGTGCAGAAATTAAACTTAGGTCTCATGATATTAGCAGCAGTATAATTTAAGATTTATATGGCCCATATTAGATTAAAACAACATAATAGGACAGTTTAAGACTTTTTTGTAAACATGGAGACTGATGTGGTACTGTAGATCTCTATTCACACAGACACGCCCAGAGAGGTAGTTCCTCAGGCTGTCCGCTAACATTACGTACTGTACCACTCTTCTAACAGGTTTTACAAGAGAAAGTTATGTAGTGCTCTGCTGACTGAACACTCCTGAATCACACGGACTATATAGATCTGTCAACCCTGGATATAAATCATTAGAATTAACCAATTAAATGACAGGGAGAGACGGCACAGATTAAACTAGGCCCATGAATAATGACCATTTGTTGAAGCTATTAAAGTGGTAATGGAAGTTTGACTGTGGATTTTGACATTTTTTAAATAATTTTGCTGTAAGATTTAATTAGCGATTAGTATTACATTCTTAAATTTTCCTTTGCTTTGACACCTTTCTTGTTCCTTTGTCTCCCAGCTAAAACACTTGGTAGACAGAGCTGAACTCCACACAAGATTAAAGGAGACCTTCACAGCGATGAAAAGACACTTTCAGACAGTGGAAATTAATTGAAACACATCAGGCTCATTTTTAAAACTTCATGGCCTGTTTTGCTGACCATACCAAGACAGCAAATTAAAAATTCCCAGTAAAATCACATCATTGCTCGTTTCCTCATATTTGTGAACACAGTGCTTGGGTAGACTGGGCTCTGCTAGTGGAAAGGTAACAAACAGAAAAGCCTGCTAGGAATCAGCAACTGTGATCCCTGCCAGGTCTCTGGGAATGCCCAGAGGGCCAGCTGAAGAACACTGTACTTCATCTTATTAAAACACATACCAGTGACAGCAACAGTTGAGTAGGACCTTGAGAAAAAGTCTTTTTTAGACTTCTGTGGTTTCTGGCGCACCTCACAGGTATAGTAAGAATTACCCACTGACTTGAAGGGGAAACTGTCCTGAATATCATTACAAGGAAAGTGCATTGTTATCGGTACACTGATGCACTCACTCACATCTCTTTCACATCTTTCTGGATTAAATTCCAATTGAGAGAGATTATATTCAATCTTTTCTTTCCGGGGAAAAAAATGGAAGACTCGATCAGAATTGTTCCTCTGCACATGTGTTTTTTTTTTCTAATGTTGTAGTACATTGGATGTGTCTTCACGACCCCCACAGCAACACAGTCAAAGATAACTGCCACAAGGCCCTACTGTACATCAACAGTAAGCGCTATCGGAAATCTGAAATTTAGAAAAAATATACTACCACTTCTTACAGGGGGTGCTCCTAAACTACTGAGAGAATACCACAAGATGTATTCTTGCCAGGCGTACAAAAAAGGGGTCCCATGCAATCTGAGACATTCATGCATAATATCTAGTTTTGATGATTTGTTCACTGAAATTTGTGGGGATTCTAACCTGGTCTTGAATATGATTGTCCATGCATAGTCAAGTTTGTCCCACGCAGAGATAAACTAACAGATGTTTTACTACTCAAAAATGGCTTTGGTTCTCGTTGGAGGCATTCTCCCATAGTTTATGCAGTATAGGAAGTATTCCTTGGTGCATGAGTTCTGGCTATCCCACCTTGTCTTCTGATAGAATAATTATTTTTAGTGTTTTTATTTCAGATTCTCATGTGATCTTGTCATGTAATGACTGGGATTTCAATACAAGTGGAGAAAAAGAAGTGTTTCTGCTGGTGTGCTTTTGATTTTTGCACATACAGGTACACAGAACTTGTTCATTCGACTTTGGATGAGCGTCTCTTTTTTTTCAAGTGGTTGGCACATTATTAAATTTGATTGAAAAAATCACTTTTTTACACTTCGGTATCCCCTCAAGCTATCAACTGGTTTCTAACAAAAAAGCTCTTCCAAACTCGACTGATTGCAGTTTTGACTAGCTCTGTAAGCTACAAGCTGACCAGCTATGATGGTAATGATAACACGCTGGCAACTTGTTTTAGTACACCTGCCATTCGAACCCCAGTTAAATCATGAACTTACTGGCAAACACTTTAAAGGGAGCTACTGGGATAGACAGAGCTTGTGCACAATCCAGGGGAAGGTTAGTAAATCACACAATTGCACTTACAGTACACCAATGGTGTACGATCCACAAATAGAGGCGTTGCAGAGTCTCTCTAGTTCAGAAGGCTAGACACGCCTAGCTTACAGCACTGCATTCTCAATGAAATGATTGCAATCTTTCACAGTGGGCTTTCATATCAAATAACCTTAAAATTACTTGCGATACAAAACCTTATACATACATAAAAGTACTGTATGTATATTATACCACACACATATATATAGCCTTTCTATACAATTTCATTTATAATATATATTATAGTTCCTAGAATTTTAAATAAAAGTTCATTGCACTTACTGAAAAAGAATCATACATATTTAAAAAAAACGTTATATCTACTTCATTTCCAAAAAGTAAAAAAAAAAAGAGATACTGTACCTCAGGCCTGGATTGAAACAAAAACAAAAAAAAATCAGAACAACATTAACACGCTATGGGAGTTAAAGATCCTCACAGGTCAAGAAACACAAAAATTCATTTGGAAAAATCTAAAAACATAGATATGAGTGATACAACACAATAAATAAATGAAAACATGGTTCCCGGTATTTTTCAAAGTGGAATTCAACCCTCATCACTGGCTGGCTGTCTCTGACTCACCGTTTTGTTTGCTTGCTCAGTTTGTGTCCTTTGTGTTCTGCGATCGTCTCCCATGGCTCCCTGAAGTCGGAAAGGGGCACCAAAACTCTTTGGTCTCAAACGTTAGGCTCATCCGTACGGGCATGCACGCAATGATGGCTGTCCTGCGGCCCTCCTGGAGGGACCAGGGGTGTGAGGCAGCGAGGAGCGGGGCAGGGGTGCCACCTCCCTCTGCTAAATGGAGCCCTCGTTGTGCACAGTGTGATTGGATTTGTTGTGCGCAACACAGTTCTGCTGCTCATTGAGCAGGTTTGCCGTCTCATCCGGCAAGCCATCGGGAAGCTCTGTGAGAGTCAACTCAATTTTAGTGTTCTCGCTATCTGAAGACTGGGGCGTTTTGTCCATCCGAGAGGCCATCACGGCGTTCTGGTACTGCTGCCGGGTGATCTGAGGAGGCAACCGGACAGCCATCAGCAACACACTGGGCCAGTTATACAGCACCTGCTATAGCACCAGGTTCATGTCAATTCTTTCAGCAGGAAAATATCTCGAGTACTCAATACAAATCTCTCAAGACTGATCAATGACACATTAATGATTCAGGTACAAAAGTTCTAACCCACAACCATACCATAGTTGGAAAAAAATCTGCCCAATGGTCTATTATTGCCTCTTTCATGCCTCCCAAATCAAATATTTTTTCATATCCAAGGCTTCCAGGCTGTCCTGTCCATGCCATTCTTATTTGAATTTCAGATTTAGGATTACAAGATTTATAGCTACACTTAGGTTTATAGTAATAGTTGAGAGCTACAGATACTCCAGGAGGTTTTAAAGTGCTGCTCAAATACTGTATACACATCAACGCCCAGCTCCTTCAGTGGATGTTTGTCCACCACTGTGGCTGCGGTTGATTAACAAGAGATCCTAAAAAGTCCAGCGATAAGCCCCTCACCTTGACAAACTGCAGGTCTGTGACTGCCCTGACTGAGTAGTCTGGCACATACACCTGTAGGAAGGAAGCGTTCAGCTGGTTGTTGCTGCTTCCCAGCGTCGGAGTGATGGCATCAATTCGGTCACTGCGGTTCAGGGAATCCGAGTGGTTCAGACCACAGGGCCGCGGAGGAGACTTGTTTTCTGCAGGACAAACAAAATAACACAGGACATTGTGAAGGGCCCGGAAACCAAACAATATCCTCCAGGGGGACAGTTTAAGAATTGTGTTCTAAGAGTACAGCTTCGCTTTTCTGTGCTTGAATCTGGGTTTATTTGTTTGTTTATAACACTGCGAAAACGTCTAACTGACAACTTTCCCATTCTGTGCCACCAAAATAAGGGGTTTAATGTCAAAGATTTAAATCGTGAAGAACATTTTTCAGCTTAACTTAGAAGAAAAACATGACATGTTTATTTTTTTTACACCTTTCCTTTAAGGTAGAGATTTCTCTTCCATTTCTAATAGTGCCCTGAAGTAAACGCTTACTGAAAAGGATGCAGAAAACCAGGGTGCTCCACATCGGCTCTACTCAAGTTAGCAGTGAATCGTTCTTTTGTTCCATCGTCCAGTTACACTACATTGACTTAGAAGCATATACAGGTGCACTGTGACAGTTTTAATATGGTGTAAAACCAGTCTTGAGGAATTAGTTTGGAATACTTCACATTTATATCTAAAAAACCTAATTATCAGTATTTTGGAACCAAATGTTTAGTTCAGGTAAATATATCCAAGAGTAATGGTAATCAAGTCTACAAATTGCTCCTTCATACTATAATGGTTTTAAGTTTTTCACTGGTGTGGTGTGTTGCATATCAAGTCTCTATAAATCAAGTGTTCACATACAGTACATGTGTTACCAAGCTGGTTGAAAACTGCATATGAATGTGAGGGGGAGGCAGAGTACAGCAAGGGCACCAGCAAAAAGTGGTATCACTCAAAGTGGATCCTAAAGGGCTGCAAATGTACAAAGTCCACTGCACTTGCCATAAGGACTGCCCAGTTATTCTTTAAATTAACAGACACATTCATATATTTTCATGTTATATGCTTTCCTTGCTGAATTCCTTGCCAGTCTTCCACCAGTGTGGCAGTAGGAGCAAGGAAAGGCTGAACATGGCCACGTTTTTCAAATCACCACCACAAGAGGAAACTTTAACAGCATGTTCTCGCTCGGAAAGAAAAAAAAACATGCTTAGCTAAGAAGAGGATTTAGACACATTTTATTGACTTTTACATATGGTCAATATTCTTGGGATTTGCAAAAAGCAAGCAAAGAGCAGGAGCTCGTAGTTCTAGTGAACTGAAAACAAAATTTGCTCAAAACCTTTTTTGAGCAAATTTTGGGAGAAATTGAGGATTTTTGGGAGGATGTCTCAAATAAACCCAAATGACAAGCAAAACAGTAAAACTAACCAGCAAAATAAAAATGCTTTAATCAGAAGGGAAATTTCTATACTGTGTATATATTGTATATGTAATGTACAGTATGGACATAAATGTGTGAGCCTTTATAATTATAGATCAATACGTCTATGAATTATGAAAATGAATAATATCTCCTGGCAATTACTAGTGAATGCCAGCTCTTTAAAATAAACAATAATAAAAACAACACCACTGCATCACTTGACAACCTCAAACCATGATATGATACTGCATTTTCAAAAACTTTGTAAAAAATGTTATTTAAATGTCAAGGCCACCCTTTCATGCAAAATTAAAAATCTGTATGCAAATTTGAAACCTCAGATTATATGTGGTTTTTCCATCCCTCATATTAACATAATTACACAATAGCATATGTAACTATATCCAAAGAATTACACGAACACAACTTGGAAACGCAGGCCCTTTCAGTCAGTCAGTTGTTTTCTGGACGCAAGGTGGCGTGCTCTCAACACCGCACGCTCCTGCTCTCTTGAATCATCTTGAATTAGCAGACTGAGAAGGCGCGCAAGGGCCAGAGAGGGTGGAGGGGCTTTATCAAAACCACAGGACACAAAACCAACCACGTCCCCACTGACACATGTGAAGGAGATGCTACAACCCAGCTGAGGTTGCATAAAATGAAATTGGAAAAAAAGAAAACAAAAAAGGGGGAAAAAACTGGCTCTTCCACATGGAAGACTTTTTCTATTTTAATTAAAGACAGATTAATTTTTCCACTACTTAAAGAAAACCTTGAATAGGCTTCCCAAGGGCAGCACTAATACAGCAATTTGGATGGAATGTATATAATCCTGGTTAGAAGTACTGTAAAAGGCGGTGCGCCTCAGTATAGCTCGCGAAGCCTGTGCACCAGGCGTGATTAGGACACTACCTTCCTGTAGGATCTGAGGGGCCTGTGTGGGATGAATGTAATTTAGCAATGTAATAACTGTCGTGGCAAATGGAAAATTCTTAAAGTCCTAGTTATAAATAGTGAGGGGGCCACACTCGCTGGCCCGAGAGTTTTTACACTACTGCCGACCCAGCAGGCAGCTTTTAATTCATGTGCTTGTTTCCAGACTTGGGTTTGTGAAAGTCCTCTGGTGCTGTACAAAAAATTAAAATCCCTAGTCATCTACCTGGCAGGCTCAAGTGACCAGCAATTTTATTACTGCAGCATTTTTAAACAGGAGAGAGAGCTAGGTCCAGGGAGAAAACAAACACAGGTTGTGAGCACTGATTAGGATTTTTCAGTAAATTGAGCTTGTGTGTCAATTTGTGAGCATGCTTTTTTTAGTGAACTTGGCAATAAACAAACTTTATTTTTAAAGTGTAACATTTGTTTTCCCCCATTATGGAGCAAAATTTGTCCCGTTTCCTGAAGGTAACATTATAAAGCCAAGAGGATATGTGATTTTTACTCTAGCAAGAGGCAATACATATTGGAAAGGGGAAATTACTCTTTTTCATTTATAAAGTTCACTCTCTAGCTAGAATATAAGCAATTTACAAGAAGAGCAAAACATTTTAGGAATTTGACAGCACTACAGATCCACATATGTTTCAAACCCTTTATAAATACAGCTGCAACTTTATAAGAAGAATATAAAACCAATATATTTTGATGCATACATAAATTTCAATAGTCTAACTTTCCAAAGATAATTGGGCTCAGACAATGTACCCATAAGCTGGCTTCAGCTGAACAGGAGGAGAGGAGGAACTTTCTACAGGAGTCTATCCAGAGACTGATCAGGAATCTACATCAACATTACTAAGACTGTGTTCACTAGGAATGACAACAGCCAAGAATTAGGAGTATTAAAAAGGTTTATTGAGTATTTTAAGTTACAATAATAATTTGGCTTAACCCGCTTGGCTGAGGGTTAACCTTTTGGACACAGAATGAGGCTGGAACCTTCATGCAGAGTGAGGAGTGACCAAGGGGCAGCTGCAGAGGTGGAGATGGGGCAGAAGACATTTGCGAGAGAGAGAGGGAGATTATGTACAATATTTCTATTGTTTAAAGGAAGAACTGACATCAGGATTGATTACAAATCACTGAGAGCTGAGTCCAAGTGAGCTTGGCTATTGTCATCTCTCCCAAACTTCTGTAAACTCCACACGCTCGGGAATACCACACCTGATGTAAACTTCGAAAGGTTTTCATCAGGATGTTGTGTCACTATTTTATACTGAAAATCTATGAACCTACCAATATGTCTGTTCATTTTTTCCATGATTGTGTTTGATATTTATGCTTAACAAAATAATTGAATCGCTATATCAAAATATTGAAATACTGAACCTTAGCTTTGTGAAACATCATTATCCAAAACTGACATTAGCGATGACAAACAAATGGCAGGCTAACAGAGGGAGAGAAAATTACAGTACCTGGAGATCCCGCTAGCGATTCAGCCCTACTGACCACGAAGGTACGAGACAGGGAGAGAGGAACTGGAGACAACAGGAAAGGGAGAGAGGGGGAGAGAGAAACAGAGAGAGAAGGGAGAACCAGTGACCAGAGGAAAACAGGAAACAGGCCAAGTCACAGCACAACAACAAACCAGGCTAGGCCACATTTTTTATATTTATCTTCACCAACGAGGACAAAAATACCCTTCAGAACATTTTCCACTGCATTTTTGTTTACATCTGCTTTAAACATTTTCATAAGTAAAAAAAAAAACTAATTTCAGATTCCTACTGGGGAAGTGGCATTTTTTGTAGTGTCACAGACTGATGACAGAGGTGCGCTAATGTAGTTAGGAACCATATGTGTGTCAGTCATGGCAACAAGATCAATTTAAATCTCTTTCAGGTTCATCCATTCATCTGTGTCTGATGAACCCATGCTGCTGTGTGGTTTCAGCAAAACATCTAAAGGGCGGATGTACAGACACTTTAGATGCTGACAGCTTAACTAACTCTTTGAGAAGATGCTGCAGTTAGTACCTTTCTTATGCCTCACCATCATGAAGGATCTGGCAGACAGTCAGCAGTAGCCCAGAGGTACCTGACAGGGGCTAAGAGCTCTGTGCTGGACAGGCGCGCAGTCACAGCAATGGGCAGGCATCCTGTCTAAATCCTGATCAAAGAGCTTGGCCTTCTTCCAACCCCAACCTCTGTCAACAAAGGCTCCCCTCCATGACTGGGAGGAACAGATTAGGAGAGCCCAGAAGATGAAGAACACTAGAATGTGAGGAGGGAGACTCACTCGCCAGCCTGAAATTCCTTTCTTCAATAGCTCCATGTGCAAGCTTTTATGAATGCTAACTGAGGCAGATGAAGGCAATGTATCAATCAAGAACATTATCTAGTAAAATGCAGTTCAATAAAAAGAATATAATCTAGTCAAAATAAGGCCAACATATGAGGTGCTCAGAAATACTGTCCAGAGAGGCCGCTACACTCAAACATTATTACAAAAGCATGATTTCTTTTTAAACCGGACTTTTGTGAACTGAAAACTTCTAACTCCTAGAATTACATGGGAAAAACAAACATAAGAACAAAATTAGAATGAAAGTCTATGATGACAAATTAGAAATATGTTAAAACATATTTAGGAAAATTCATAACTTTTTGCTTCTGAAATTATTCAGTGCATTCCTTGCACCTTTAATAAGCTCCGGGGGGATACAGGTTCTTAGTGGTGGTTATGATACAAAACGAACAGCAGAGGTCCCTAACATCCTGTAAGTCACTGAAAGCTAAACAGCTGTTTCTAAATAACCCTGTCACTGCCATTCTAGAATACGGATCTAGCTCTTCAGTATATATAAATGTATAAATCCTGAATTTGTAATATTTAACAATAAAGATGGCCATACAAGATGGTCAATAATGTAAATACAGATAAATATGTCTGGTGCAGCTTTCAATTGTTTAATACACTAAACCTGAACAAGATGGGGGTAAAAGTCACCATCACTCATCAGAACATTAACATGCTCCTGCAGATCACTTTAGTTGAAAAGTTTCTTCCCCTAGCTCCTGATTGCGACTCTGTGAAGACAGTCTCTGCATGTACCCGCCTTCCAAAATAATATGCAACAGATCAATCGGCTTAGCAAGCAAGAAGTGTTTTGTGATTAAAAGCAGGTGTGTCAAGTACCTGGGGAGGCTGTGAGGGCCATCATTCCATAGTAGGAGAAAGCTCCTGCTTCAAACTTCATCCCCTCCTTCCCTGCCTCCACCTCCACCTTCCCCTGCAGAGACACAGGAGAGAGCACAGTGAGAGAAGGGGCTGGAGGAGCAGTCGCCTCAGGCCACGGGGGATAGTCCTTGTGCTGCACAGAGGGGACCTGCAGGTTGCACAATTATTTCTCACTTACAGGCTGCTGAAGATTTGCAAGATGGTTTCACATTTTTACCACTTAACCGAGTTCAGCTGAGCTACTTGGAGGGCAGGTGGGAGAGGAAAGTGATTAAGAGATTCTCGGGGAGTAGAGTTGCTCGGGGCCTGTTTTAGAGAAAACGTTTCAAAGAACCTCCTTTCAGAAAATCAAAACCAACGTAGAATTTGACAAAAGTATCTTAGTTGACTCAAGGTAGTTCGTTCTAGATTAGTATATATTTAATTGTTTCTCATACATCAGTTGATTAAGAGAGATCAATATCAGATCTAGGCAAATTAGATTGCAGTGAACGAGTTCATAATGGCGGAATTCAGAAGAGAAAAAATGCAGACTAGATTGAAGCAGATTCTACACAGTTATAGCTTTTCTGTAAAGTTACAATTCATTACAAGAAGGGAGATATTTTTCTACCTATCAACCTACTTTTTTACACTACGGAGCTTAGTAAAACTCCATTTGCACTTAGATTTTTCAACTTCTCTTGGGAGGAATGTAAGCAACACAACATAAATATACTATATACAATACACTGCAGCTTGGGCCTGAGGTACGCTACTAGGACTTCAAGTTCTTTGTCCAGGAATATGCTGTTGTGTGATGCTCTATCTGACCTGTAAGATGAGAATGAAGTAGTCAACGGGCTTGTTGCGATGGTAGAGGTAGTGGTCAGGGGTCTTTTTGTTCTTGTCATCATATTTCAGCTCCTGGATGACATTGGTGTGTTTGAGGAGCCGGAGGAGAATCTTCTCTGACATCTGAGCAGGGCTGAAGGGCTCCACCTCTGTAGAGAGACACACAGCTATCAATCAGCCATGTACATTGTCCACCTCACCATCATGTCAGCTACTCTTGTGATGCCACAGAGTCTTCTCAAACAACTACTAAGTTTTTGAAAAGAGAACCTACCCAGGACTATAATGCAGCAATAGCAACACGCAACCGCAATAGCAACGCTCCTAACCTATCCACAACAACATTGTCAGCTATAGGGAGTAAGAAGGTAACAGAAATGATACACAGCTTATGGACAAGGAAAAATTCCTGGTTACTTTCGTGCTTCAGTAATAGTTTAGAGTACTTAGTTAATTTTAGAACGTAAAGGTACTGTAAGTGACTGTCAATGTCAAATTCTGCCTTGCTTGCAATTCGCCATTCTAATTCTCTGTCACAGAACTGGAAGAGAGAAAGTAGAAACACAGAAATCTAAAGCCCACTGGCAACATATTGTGGAGCTTTTAATCCAGTGAAATGAATCATTGTAGTTATCCATACCTTGGACATATTTATGTTTAACACATTTTTCTGTCTAGTTAAATCAGAATACATTATTGTGAAAACAACTAAAATAAATAATTGAAAAATAACTGCTTAAAAAATAAATAACTGGTTAAAAAATATGAAATGTGGGATACATATAAAGCTATACTTTATATGTAATTGTTACTTTACATGCAGGTCAGAAAATGGAAAGCACTGCAAAGTGAACAGAGCTCTTTTAATGTAGCATCTCTTTATAACCCTGCCCTTTCTACTGTTACACAAGGAAGTCCACACAGGAGAGGTTATTTTTATTATGTCACTTTAATTTCAAAGGCAATACCTAAATAATTCAGTTAAAAAGCTTGTGTCCCTTTGCTTTAAAAAATATCTTCTTTAAAGCAGGCTATTAGTATTTAGACACGAGTGCTAACCTCTGTCATGGGTGCTCAGGGATAGGAGAATTTGCAGCTGAGGCCAGCAGGGGACTTCCGCTGTGGGCCAGTTTCCAGTGCCTACTGACCCTCTTCTCCTAACCCCACACCAGCTACACATGCATCACTATGAGATTTCAAACTGTGATAAGCCCAACTTGCCTGTTGCTAGGAAACGGTGTGTTGCCAGCAGAAGCTGAGGTGATATTTTAACCTTCATCTCATTGTCTGTCGGCTTGAAGGCCGAGAAATCCTGCTTTCTCTCACGGTGAGTTATTTTCTTTTTTGTCCTGTTGTCAGCTGAAAGAAAAGGAAGATGGGGGATTTGGAGCAAACAAACAAAAATCACATCAAGAACATCAGCTTCCTATAAGTAATGGAAGAACAGAAAGAAGGCCATTCAGCTCGTTTAATAAGTTTACAATGAGACACCTTGTATTTTAATCTTGCCACCATAATTATCACTTGGAGACATTACAATTACAGTTCCATTAAGCAGTGGATATTTATGTTATATAATAAAGTCAATGCTCATGCGTGATCCTTAATGACTTCACTTCCCTGTCAATAGTAGAGGCAGGTGTGAAAACCAGCACTAGAAAATTCTTGCACGCCTCACAATGATTCAAAGTACTAGCATCAGCCTATAACTGCTCATTTTACCAAACAAAATGTAAACAACACACTCTGAAATACTACCGTGCTCCAAGCACATCACTCAGGAGCTTGTAAAAGATTGCCAAACCTTCATGTGTTTCCTCAAAAAAGTGCACAATTTTGCATACTTTCTTACTGGAATGAACATACACTACATTTTTCTCATTGCATCATTTTTTAGTTTTTGTAGAATTAGTCAGACAAAACTGTAAGAAACATGAATGTAAACAGCTTCTTATTTTAGCCTGAAAGTAATTGTTTTTGAATTTTCCATTCCAGCCTTTTCTTTTCAGCCCTTTTTTCCATTTCCATTTTGATCCAAAATCCATTGAGTGCTGCATATTTACTTTGATTAACTACTCTCCTAGGGGATCGAATCACAATTGAAACATGAGCCACCAGAGGAAATTCTTACATTTCAACTTCCACTACATACAGTAGCTAAGGACTGCAAGAACACTGCTGGTCTTTTACATCAAGTACTTGGCAAGACCAGAATGAGCATCCAGAGTAGCGCCACCCCTCGCGGCAACACTTGTGCGTTTGGTACCTACTATACAAGTCTGTCTCATCCAGGATTTCGGACTTGATGATCTCTTCTATAACGTCCTCCAATGTGATGATCCCCAGCACCTCATAGAATGGGTCTCCTTCCCCCTCATTATTCACCCTCTGCACTATCGCCAAGTGGGATTTACCTGAGGAAGCAAGACACAAGACTTAGAAAGAATCTGCAAAGCTGCATTTTATTCTTGCAAGGGGGTCCAAATAATAAGAGGTATCTTGTAAAAAAATCACCAGCTGTAGTCTGGTTGAAGCAAAGGCACTGTACAGCACTTGTAATGCACACAGGCTCTCCTGATGAGTTCTCTTTAGATAGCAACTGAAGCCTTCTTCAGATTGAGCCAAGAGCACAGCTGCAAATAAGTTACACATTTCTTTTAGGGACTACCAATGTGTTAAAAGATCCAAGGACCCTTTTCTGGCAATACACAAGACGCATTAAATTGTAAATACATCAGTGCTTAGGCTTTGTCTGTGATCATTTGATTATAAGCAATAGAATGTGTTGAAAAGGAAAGGGACTGTAAGATGGTTTGCAAGATATGTAAGCTGGACAAATAAAGAAGACTAATCAGACTGGTGTCTGATAACTTTTTTTCACCAGAGCTCAGAAGAAGACAACTTTTTTTTTCCCTCTTCACATACACATTATTTTCAAAGATCTCTTGCCAATAGCAAAAATCTATCCTGAACAAACGTCGAAATTCACTTGCCAACATTCATCAATACACTGTCCCTGCATTGTATACATTCATGGCTGTAAAATAATAATACTTTCCATTAAAAGTACAACAATGCAGCAGGGCAAAAACTAGACTTCTACACTAAGAAAATTTGACTTCACTTTAGGTCACTACATCTCTTGAGGGTCTGAAAAGAAATTGTTTCATATTATCTTCCTTAATACTATAAGCCAGTCCATGAGCCAAGCACACAAATAAAGATGTCAAGCAAGAAAGCAGACAAACAAGGACTTTGATACTGGACAGACCCAATATGTCCCGTTTTCTTAAGAAATCCCTCACATTTCCACATCTGCTTTCCCAGGACCCTCAGTAAGCAGCTTAAAAAACACTCCTCACAAATGCTGTCTATCAAAACGTTAAACAAATTCTTTTCCTATTCTCAGCTTGTGATCATTTGAAAGGAATTTTCCAGAGCAGAGGCTAATATTAGACCTGAAATGAAGTTTCCATTCCACTTGGGCGATATTCTCACCAAAGTAACTGCTGCGTAATCTGATTGTCTTGGAGCTACTCATTTAAATGCAGATGGGGCATAGCTTAAATTCCAAACACTCGGGACTTTCTGGACCTTATCTGTGAAGACGTTATGATACACAGTGCCTCTGCTTTCTTCATCACCCAGCACAATATAGCTCTTCTGCTGGGACACTCAAGCACTGCCAGTACCACCCAACACATGCCCAGGCATTCAGCAGGTACAGAGCACGAGTGGAACACAAACTGTGCACAACGTCAAGTGGACAAGCAGGAAAGCCTACAGTACTGCAGGTCTTTTCCCTGTGTCTGCTAAACATATTAGAATTTTTTTAGAATTCTTTTTACCTAATCGTGAAAAATGGACATCAAATTATTTTTACTTTATGCGTTCATATTTTACGTATATCTAGGTTTATGCTGTTGATTTACTGTGATCCAACTACACCAGTTTCTGAAAAGCCTTTTTGGCCCTGCTGAGAAGGGAATGCACAAATACACAAGTAGTGTTCTGCACAGATCAGCAGCACTGTTGAAGAGCTATGGTGGCTTTTAATGGAAGAGCTATGTACTTTTTAATTATATACAGTATATATACCATGTAGTTTACTGTAAAGGATCTGCTGTGACATCCTCTCTTTCAATTCTAGTAAAAAGCATTTTCTGAGAACGTTTTCTGAGTAGGTGTAGAAGAGGCTGATATTCTCTACACAGCAGCTAAGTCTGTCTTTGTCTAATGTCTGTGAAGACATTAAAAGAAAATGTTGCAATGTGAATAGCCTAGTGTTTTTACATTTTCAAAAAGCTAAGAGGCAGTTTAACATGAAAGGGAGGTACTGTATTCCATAAATAAGCAGTAGAATCCACATTCTCAGACATATGCTTAGGTACATTTGTCAGTATATAGTCTGAGATGATGTGAATCGCACCTCTCACAGATGGAGGTTCAAAACTTAAATTTATAATAAGCATACTCTGACCCCACTTATCTCAGAAAAAAACAACAATTTAACAGACATTTTTTAATCAATTTAATCAATCATTTAATCAATAAGCTACAATATAAAAAATGAGCATTTGGTTAAGAAACTAGCAATGGTACTGAAAAGCTTAAAACCAGTAACAAACATTTTTATGCAAACTTTACAAAAACACTGCAATTATCTGAATGTTCCAAGACTGTAAGATATAACTAGACAGACAGAAACCTGTGTCCATTAATCTGTGTGCATTTTCTGTCCTGCAGCTGGTATTATTCACCTGTGAGGTTTGTCCTTTCCGGAAGTGCCACAATCGATAACATATCCTACGAGCTTCTTCACTGCTTCGAGGCCCATTCAGTCATATTCTCATAAGGCATTACAGAATGTATCAAGGTATATCTGCCCTCACAGTGGGTCAGCCGCTATGATGAACATGTCACACATTCAAACCTGGATTGTTTCACTAGCTGACTGAGACCTGGCCTCCCAAGGGATTGCACATAACCGACCACATCACAAGTGCACATGGGAACAGCCGCTCGGAAGATGAAGCATAATAGGTCAATATGAACGAACAGAGAGAGAGATCCCAGACAATCAAAAGAGATCCACGTGCATGAATGTCCTTTGTAAGCAGAACAAAGACAGCAGGACAGCTTACAAGATGAATATATGACTGCAAGGGACTGGAAGGAAAACAGAAAAAAATATATACTTCAGAATAGTAGTCATTTTAGCTATCAAATCCAGGTTGTTGTTTCTTTCTTCTCTGCAACCGAAAATTATCAATTTTTGAAGAGGACTGGAAGTGGGTGAAAATCTTTCAGCCTGTGGCTCTGAGAAACAAACCACCACAAAACCTCATGCTGACGAAAAACCCCTTCACATTTAACGATTTCATTCTGGATTAAACACTAAGACACTGGAGGACATGATTAATATGGTTTTCAACCTTGACATTCCATGAACACTGTGAATCACTGTTTTTCAATCACAATCCAATGAAAACCTGCACATTGTTGATTGTTATTATATAACATTTTGAAGCCTTTAAGATTTCATCTGAGTCCAAATTAAATAAATGGAAGTGCATTTAAAACTGAGAACAGGAGGAACGTCTTTACCCAAAAAGGTTGTGGGAGTATAGAACAAGCTACCCATCCATGTTGTTGGAGCCAATATATCAGCTTACTTAAAGAAATATCATCATACATCTCTATTTCATGGCTGACCCTTTCAAAATTAACATTGCTTTCACAGATTTAATGGTAAAGTATCTCAGTCCATTCCTGCTGTAGTATAAACAAATATACTGTAAATACTGAGCAAAGGAAGAATATACAAGCTTGAAATACAGTAACTGCAGCAGTAAAAATGTGTTTAACAATAATCAGTTGTCCAGTGTATGCTTGATGTAATTTCTATATTAGAGGAAGCAGACAGTCAGAAAATCGAGAAAACACAGAGGCAGTTTTCAGTTGTGCACGCAACTGTCTCTAATAAATACTTTGAGTACATATCTAATGGACACAGAAATTTAAAATTGTAAAATGTAGAACTCCATATTACACTTTGGAATTTTTATTTTAATAATGATGGGCTTCCACTATGATTTAAAGATTAGTCTTCTCATCAAGAGATGCACGTTCACATTTGGCATTTCATTAATGTTTAAGCATTGAGTAAATGTATAAAAAAAGAAAAGTACTATGTTAACAAAAGCTTGGAAATGTTTCGGTTCTCAGTTATCTGAAGTTTCTGATAAATTATGTGTTATATCTGGTGTGCTAAAACATGTAACAGAAATGAATCTGCTGTCACAATGGTCATCCACCTTGCACTCTAAATCGGCTCCTGTAAACTCTTTCAAAATGCACACTCCTAATCCAGGCCAAAGGCTGCCAGCTTCAGTGCTACTGATAAGGAACTGTATCCATATTGGTATATTAATCTTGAAATTAAATGACACACTGTATCTTTTAAAAAAATGAAGTGAAAAAATCACAATTTCTGTTTTTTAGCCTTTGGGTAAAGTATTTTAGAGGTGGCCCAACACCGAAAAAGAGCTATGAATTGTGATTTTGTAAACATTTTGCTTTTTGTTACAACAACGTAATAAGTCTTTTCTCTCCAAGAATGACTTAAAGTTGCAAGGGTCATAGGACATGTAAAAAGCCAATAAAACAACTTAGCAAAAATAAAGAACATTTGTAATTGTTACTGCTTATTTTCCCTTGTATTCTATTCTGTTGATTCTGCTTACAGTATAATTAAACTAACCATTCCCATAAAACAAAAGAACAGCTGTTTTACAGAATTTTTTTTTATTTATTAAAGCTTTATCTAGACATCTTCAGTACAATACGGGGAAGCAATAAAAAGGCAAATAAAATGTAAGGATGTATTGTTAAAAGTGTGGAATTTAATTTGCAATGGATGCAATGGTTAAAATTGTAAAATGCACTACTAGGACCTCATTTACAATATGGTGTACGTGATTGCTACAGTACTTTATAAAACAAATACTACTCCTCTGAAATCATTCCGATCCTTGAAGGAATATCCTACCCTGATAAGCTAAAACAAATAAACCTTGAACAAAGAAGTCTACGGGGTGTCCTGAGTGGTGTACTTAAAATCCTAAAAGGTACTGATAAAACCAACACAATGGACCTTTTCAGAATCATGCTACTCAGCTAGATATCAAGTCATCTTTCAAGAAACAGTTGGATTAGATCCTCAAATTAACTGCTAACGATCCAATAGTCAAAACGAGTCGAATAGTCCTCTCTCATTGTAAAATTTCTTATGTTCTTACAAAACTCAATTACTGAGTTACTGAAGATGGATGTGTAGCATAGGAAGACCATGAAAATGGAAGAAAATATCAATGGCTAAACAACAAAGGATTTTCGAATTTTAGATTTCACT